CCTACCAGGCTCACTCAGTCATCATTAGGTCATCTTTTCATCATATGTTGTGTGGCTAAAGAACGGTCAAAGAATAATGATAACGACGGTGGTGATAATAGTCATGATGTTGATTAGGATGATGATGATAATAATAATATCAATGATAATGATAATAATACTAATACTAATACTAATAATAATAATAAGGATAATAATAATGATGATGATGATGATAACGATAATAATAGTAATAATAATAATGATGCTACTACTGAGGATAATAGTCATAATAATGATGATCATAACGATAATGATAATAATAGCAATAATAATAATAATAATAATAATGATAATAATATAACAATAATAATAATAATAATAACAATAAAATGATGATGATAATAACAATGATAATAATGATAATAGTATACAATATTGATATTGATACTGATATCGTTTATGAAAACCTTAATGATACATGATAATGACAATGATAATAGCAACAATAACACCAATGATGACAATGATAGCGACAATAACGGTTACATTAATGACAATGATGATCATAGCAGTAGTGATGACTGTATGGACGCTCATGATTCCTCTCTGTGATACCTTCATGGCACTTCCATCTCAAGCGCATTTATTTACTTGCGGTTCAGGGTCTCTTTTGGTTGGTTGGGCATCTGTGTGTGTGTGAACAGAGAAAAAACACAGAGAAAAATAACACATACACACAAACACATACACACACAAACACACAAACACACACACACACACACACACACACACACACACACACACACATACACACACACAAACACACACACATAAACAAAAAATCAAACAAACACAAACGCATACCTCGTATTACCCACTCTTATTACGGTAAAGTCAAAACGAATTGTTTCTCTATCCATAAAGAAGAAAAAAAAGCAAGTAATGACCGCTGTACCGCAGGACTATCTACCATACCACATATCAACAATACCACATATTCACCCTCGTACCATCCACGTACCATAGCATTTATTACACACATGCCGTTAATGCACATATCCCGTGTGCCGAGTTTACAAGGGGTACCGTCCGCTACAATCTCTTCTAACTTAACACTGTAGAATTCATTGTCCGGTTTACACTGCAGCTCACATGGGGCGTCTGTAAGGAGAAGCAGAAAATCGAGGTTAATATAGAAGAAATTCAGGAGGAAGGAGAGGGGAGAGAGAGAGGAGAGAGAGAGAGAGAGAGAGAGAGGAGAGAGAGAGAGGAGAGAGAGAGAGAGAGAGAGAGAGGAGAGAGAGAGAGAGAGAGAGAGAGAGAGAGAGAGGATGAGTAAAGAGAGAGAGAGAGGGGGAGAGAGATGAAAGAAAGAGAAAAAAAGAAAGAAGAAGAGAGACAGACAGACAGAACAGACACACAGAGAAAAAAAGCCAGACAAGAAAAAAAATTCCCAAATAAATACAATATATTTTCTAACAAACCACATTTTTTAAAACCTCAGTACTCACGATGTTGCATGACCGGTTGCCAGGTATGGTTGGCGCCCTTGTACGGCACGGAGTTGAACTTGGAACACTGCTGAGCCCGGAAACTCACTCCATTTTCGGGACAGTCCTGGAGAGGGAGGCAGTGAGTAGGATGATATTTTGAGCGTATATTCTGACCCATTGAATGCTCGTGCTATTTCTATCTAAATCCTACAGATTGTTGGTCTCGAGATTATTACTCTTAATTAAAAAACTGTTAAGTTATTTTTCATTTATCTATTTATTCATTGTCATTAGATAATATTATGATAAAATGAACAATAAGAGGCCAGTTTCCATTTCGAGTGCTGAATTACCCATTTCATATATCAATTCAGGTTTGACATATTACAAGTATTCCCAATAGTCTGCCCATGAATCTATTTTTCTCTCGCCCGCCCACCTCCGTGTTGCAGATGCGGTATCGCTTGCGGTCGCCCGTGCAGTAGCGGCCTCCGTTGGCGGGCGCGGGGTTGTCGCAGTGCCGCTCCGCCATCTGCGTGCCGGCGCCGCAGGACCGCGTGCACTGCGACCAGCTGGACCACGACCCCCACTCGCCGTTGATGGCCGCAGGACGCTCGCCCATGGTCACGCAGCGCCCCATCACGCACCACTGGGGGAGGGCCGGGGGGGAGGGGTTAGAGGCAATCACAGGGGGATGTGGAGGTAAATTGAGAAGAAGGATTATACACGAACAGAAAATACGTTTATCAAGTCCTCGCATTATGATTATAATGATGTAGAAAAAGAAAAGAAATAAAACAATTAAAATTTGACAATAATCCCGTCCAACATCCCGGTGTCGAGCGAAAGCTGTGGCCTTTGCGAGATTCCTTCCCTCAGCATCAGTCGCCTAGAATCACTAACCTCAGCTGACTATGCTTTCGTCTGAAACACGTCTGTGCAGGGGCGCATCTGTGCGCGTTTGTATCCCGTAAGGAACATTGAATAATAACCAGAAATGTGAACAGCTCTGTTGCCTGACCGGCGACATTTATTAGCATTATCCGGACGTTTTACAATAACTGTTCTAGGATTGAGTTTAAAGACGTGTTTCAGTGCAAAGTTTAGAACCTGCTTTGTTTAGAGACGCTGGGCGACTCTTAAGGAAAGGGATGAATGACGGTCTACCACAACATGACCGGAAACCTCTGCGCGCGCGTCGATTTCCTCTCCGTCAAACGGCCGCCCAACCTTTCGCTCGACGCCGGGCGCGCGTCTCTCCCCACCTTGTGCTTCCCGCAGTGGGTGCCCTCGGCCGCCGGCTCCATGCGCGTGATGCAGCGGTTGTCCAGGTGGCACCACAGCGTCTGGCAGATCCTCTCGGTGCCCTCGATGCCCTCGCAGTGGGTGGCACCGGCGCCGAAGCTGAGGCGGCACTGGTGGTCGGCGTCGTACATGGCACCAGGGGGGAGCTCGGGGAAGCTGTACTCCATCTGGGGGGGCTCGTCCTCCAAGCAAGCGCCCCAGTCGCGGCTGCGGGAGGAGTGAGAGATCGCAGGCGCTCGTGAGAGACTGCAGGCGAGCGTGTGCGTGTGGCCGCGCATATTAAATGACACGGGACGGCCTGGCTGTGTTGAGTCATTAATGATTTAGTGTAATTAATACGTGTGTTTGTAGGGTTGGATGTCGCGTGTGAATCCATACTTTACAGAGAATATTCAACATCATGGTGGACATGGATGCATATATTAACGAGTGTTACATCAAACAAAAACTAATGCAGAAAATATATATGATTTTTACATAATAAAACCTAAAGAAGTGCAGTAAGAAGAAAGACATGCTGTTGTAGCTTAAAGAGTACCCTTGTGTAACACCCAAAAAATAATTATCTCAAGGAGTTAATTGCATTACTTACTGGAAAAAATATGAACGAGAAAAAATCTCAAGGAGTTAATTGTATTGGAAAAAATATGGACGAGAATAAAGTGACCCAAACACAAATTACTGACATTTCGCTTTCAGTTTATAAAATCATTCCGAAAACTCTAGTCATCCCTTCCGCTTTATGAAATGATCCAGAACTAACCCATAACTCTTCAGTAAAGATTCTCGTTCAATATTCATGGTACATTAAATGATGTAATAAGTAACAAGCAAGAAACATGAAAGGTTTGCGTTGAAATTTGAACTAAAGTCTCGAGGCACAATTTTGGTCATGTGCTTCTGCCCTTTAGTGAAATAATGTTTTATCCAATTCAAACTAAAAACGATTAAGAGACCATTCACGGCAATCAAAAGATCATAAATTCAAGTGGCAAACCGGATACAAATGAAAGATCAACGAACAGTGAAATATCAACGAATGTAGATTAAAGATCAACGAATAATGATAAAAGATCAGCGATTGTAAATAAAAAAACAACGAATATTAATGAAATATCAACGAAAGCAAACGAAAGCTCGACGCATCAGCCGCAACTCCTACGCGCTGTCCTCCCGCTGTTCACACGAGGTCCAGAGGCGGAGCGTGACCTTCAGCTGGCACCCGCAGCTTGCATCGGACGCCAGGCGCAAGTCACGCTGCGTGGGCGGGCGGGCGGGCGGCTGCTACCTGGACGCGCGCCGGTGGTCCCTCGGGTGGGCGGGGAGGAGCTCTGTCTATCTATATAACAATGTATCTATGTATCTACCCCCCTCCCTCTCTATGTATGTCTATACACACACACACATATACACATCTATCTATCTATCTATAAATATATATGTACACACACACACACACATTAATGTATATATATATATATATATATAATATATATATATATATATATATATTATATATATATATATATATATATATATATATATATATATCTCTCTCTCATCTATGTCGGCATATATTTTGTTTGCTTGTTTGTGGCTGGACACAAATACCTATAATCAGTTCGATTAATAACACAATGTCAGCAAATCATTATCAGTAACAGCAACAACAAAGCAATTTACGGCAAACAAACCAACACGACCCAAAACACCACCGACTGACAACAAAAGTGTCAGCGTTCGGAAACCAGAAAGTCCTGCCAGCGGCCAGGAATACGTACAGTACACGATGACACAAACAGAAATGCCTTTACTACCAGAATGAATACGAACACTTCTTCCTCACTTGCTTCCCCTCACACTGAGTTCGCCTGTTTCCTTTTATCACCTTGTCTCCCTTCATTTCTACACCTCTTCTCATCCCTCTTTTCTTCATTTCCATTTCCTCTACAATTTTTTTCCTGTTTTCTACCCTCTTTCATTTCTTCTTTCCTTCTCTTTCCCTCCTATTCTTACCGCCACCCCCTTTTTTCTCTACTTCCTTTGCCCCTCCTTTCTTTATCTCTATATTTCTCTTTCTCTCCCTCGCCTCTTCTCCCCTATTTATCCCTCCTTTTCTGCCCCTTCCTCGCCCCCTCCCTTCCATCTCCTTCCTTTCTCCCACTCCCCTCCCTTTCTTCCCCTTTGCCCCCCCTCCTCCCTCTCCTTCCCTTTCTCCCCTACCTCGCCTCCTCCCCTTCCCTTTCTCCCCCTACCCGCCCCTCCCCTCCCCTCTCCTTCCCTTTCTCTCCCTATCTCGCTTCTACCCCTCCCCTCCCCTCCCATCGCCTTCCTCTCCCCCCTCGCCCCTCCCTGCCCTTTCTCCCCTTTACCCCGCCCCCTCCCCTCCCTACAGGTGGCGCAGGTGGTGCAAGTCTCTCCAACCCGACTGATTAAGTCCGCCTCGCTCTCGGGTTACCAGCTTTCCCGCGCTCCGACGTTTCGAAGCGCGTCATCCGATACGCTTCGGAGTCGTTCGGAGATGGCTATCGTTTCCTTGTATTCATTTAAAAAATTCGACCTCGCTTTGTCCCGCTGTTGGGGCTTGGGGTTGGGGCTGGGTGGGGAGAGGGAGAGGGGAGGGGGAGGGGAGAGAGAGAGGGAAGACTCGTTTTTTTAAAAGAGCTTCCTATAGTCTCTTTTTCCTGTTCCTCCTTTCTTTCTCCATCCTTCGCTCCCTCCCTCACTTCCTAATTCTCTTCGTCTCACTTTCATTCCTTCCCTCTCTCCTTTCCCACCCTACCTCCCTCTTTCCTTCCGTCCCATCCTCCCACCCTCACTCCTTCCCATTCCTCACTTCCTTCTTCTCCTTCCTTCCTTCCCACCCTCTTCCTCCCTCTCTCCCTTCCTCCCTCCATCTTTTCCCTCCTCTCCCTCCTCCCTTCTCCCTCCATCCCTCCTTCCCTCCTTCTCTCCCTTCCTCCCTCCTCCCTCTTCCCTTCCTCCTTCCTTCTCTCCCTTCCTCCCTCCTTCCCTCCTTCTCTCCCTCCTTCCTCCCTCCTTCCCCCTGCGCCTATAACCCCTTGACTCGCCACAACTGTTTACGTAGTGCCTATGACCCGTTCGCGTCAACAGGAACACCTTCGTCCATTAGCGTGGCACTGGGGCGTCACTTCGCTAATGCCTCGGAGGAAACACACACCAGGCCGCCACAGGGGTGCCAGCTCCTTCGAGTGTGATGGAGGAGAGCAGACCCCTCAGAGCTCTGGTGTGGTGTGGGGCTGTCGCTTCAAGACATCACTTCTTTTTTTCCCTAAAACTCCCTCTCTCTCTCTCCCCCTCCCCTTTCTCCTCTTTATCTTTTCTCCCTCCCTCCCTCTCTCCCTTTTCCTTCCCCCCTATCCCTCTCCCCTCTCCCCATTTTTCCTTGATAAAGAGAGAAGATTAATAAATGTATAAATAGAAATAGATATGATAATGAAGATAAAGATGAATTAATAAGTGATTAAAAACAAAAATAGGTGAATAAATGAATAAGAATGAAAATGAGTAAATACATAAATGATAACAAAATCAATTAATGAATATATATAAACAAAAATAACAATAAGAATAGATGATTGAATAAATTAGTAAAGACAAATGAATAAAGAAATGAACAAAAATGACGAATGGATAAATAAAAATCCCCTTAAAATACATGAACCATTCGGCCAAAAAATTTACTCGATTTGATAATAATGACTTCATGTGCAAAGCTGCCGACCTCTCAGATTTTTTGTAAAAACTTTCTGAAGCGAATAAAGTCAATTGAAAAACGTTCTGAAAATCTGCCATTATTCCGAGATGCTGAAGAAGTGCTTGTAAATTCTCCAGACTTTAGAGAAATACTGAACGAGATGGCGACACTTCTGCAAAATATTAATGAAGCAGCGCCACCAATCTCCTCCAGACCGTGAGAAACAGGGCTACAAATACTCCAATAACTGACAAACTTCCTGTCCTTAGAAAAACAAACAAACTTACAGCCATGACTTTTAAGCATCATTTCCACACATCTCAAAGACAAAGGCAAAAGGCTTCCCCTATTCCTCGTAACTAACGAAACATCTGCGACAGCTTTCCAGGCGGTGATGAAACAATACTGCCAATAGACGGGACCAGAACCGAGACGCAAGACAGGGTCGCCATACGCCCGACAGCATTCCTGATACGCAAAGAAGGCAGTTACATCCATCATCGAGACATTTATGGATGCTAATATTCCCCCGTGGAAATAAACTCGACCGATTAGAGTGAATGGATCTATTAAAGTAACGTAGTTAAGTGTAAGGTACGACGAAGTCCCACAGTGAATCATATATATATATATATATATATATATATATAGTATATATATATATATAATATATATATATATATATATATATATATATATATATATATATATATATATATATATATATATATATATATATATATATATATATATATATATATATATATATATATATATATATATATATATATATATATATATATATATATATATATATATATATATATATATATTATATATATATACATTATCATAATACCAGTGAATTTGACGACTGATGAGAAATTGATATGAAATTGTTGTTGTTAGGATGATGATTATAAGATTCGATAACTATAATTGGACTACTGAATTCATTATCAATGAATGATGACGTCATCGGCGCCGGGTACCACCTAGACT